ACCCCCTATCCTAGCAAACACCTATACTCTAGCACCCGCATCACCACGCCAGCCACTAGCCCCTCACTCAACCACCCCCACCAAACACTCGCACACACAGCACACCCACTCAACCTACTCGAGTATATCGAATCGTGAACCTGCCCTGACCTGCCACGTTCGCCCCACACTCGCTCTGACCCACAACAATAGCTATTGTCAGAATATACAGTCCCCCCATGACAACAAACTGCCTCCCTTCACCCCACACTACGCAAATAGACACCACCATAAGCTTGTCGAAATATATCGATGCCATGTAACACCTTGACCTAACGATCCAAAGCACCCACATCGAGCATGCCGCCACTAGCTTATGTCGTATAATCGATGAGCCTTGTAAACCACTGACTCAGCTCAACCCACAATCGACGCTCGAAAACACCAACACACAAACCTAGCTTGCTAGTATATCGTACCCTGCCCTAACCGAATCGTCACCCCACACTCGCCTGCCCAGCCTAGCTTGTCCGTAACTATCGTGGCTCGCCTGCCTTCGTCACCCCACACTCGCCTGCCCCACCTAAGCTAACTCGTAGTCTATCCCTACGTACCCTGCCTCGAAAACAACTCGCAACCTCGATCCGCCTCCACAAACTCGTTGCCCACCTAGCTTGCTCGCTATATCGTGCCTGCCGTGCCTCGATCACCCCACACTCGCCTGCCCACCTAGGTTGTCGGCTATATCGTGCCCTGCCTGCCCTCAAGTCACCCCACACTCGCCTCCCAACTAGCTTTTCGTAATCTTTGCCTGCCTTGGCCCTCGTCACCCCACACTCGCTGACCCACCTAGCTTGTCGTATATCCGTTACCTGCCGCCTCGTTCACCCCACACTCGCCTGCCCCACCTAGCTTGTCGTATATCGTACCTTGCCCTTGCCTGCCTCGTCACCACCACACTCGCTCTGCCACCTAAGCTTTGTCGTATATCCTGCCTGCCTGCCTCGTCACCCCACACTCGCCTGCGCCCGACCTAGCTTTCGTATTATCGTGGCTGCCCTGCCAGCCTCTGCACCCACACTCGCCTGCCACCTAGCTTGGTCGTAATATCGTGGCTTGCCTGCGCCTCGTCACCCCACACTCGCCTGCCACACCTAGCTTGCGTATATCGTGCCTGCCTGCCTCGTCACCCCCACACTCCCTTGCCACCTAGCTTCGTCGTATATCGTACCTGCTGCCAGCCTCTCACCCAACACTCGACCTGACCCAACCTAAGCTTGTCGTTATATGTGCCCTGCTGCTACGTCACCCCCACACTCGTCTGCCCACCTAGCTTGTCGTAATCGTACCTGCCTGCCTCCCCCGTCACCACCACACTCGCCCTGCCCACCTAGCCTTGTCGTATATCGTGCTTGCCTGCCTACGTCACCCCACACTCGCTCTGCCCACCTAGCTTGTCTATATCGTACCTGCCTGCCACGTCGCCCCACCACTCGTTCTGCCCACCTAAGCTTGTCGTCATACGCCATGCCGGCCTACGTCACCCCACAGCTCGCCTGCCCACCGTAGCTTGTCGTATATCTGCCTGGCCTGCCCGTCACCCACCCACTCGCCCCTGCCCACCTAAGCTTGTCGTATATCGATCCTGCCTGCCTCGTCACCCCACACT